ATTACATTTATTATTATACATAAATTATTATTACTTAAGAATTACTTATTATTAAGAATTAAATATTTTATTACATAAATTATTTCTCCCCCAAAGCAACAGATATCCTGCTCACTTTCAAGGTATTGGATTTTATTCCTATTAACCAGCACTTGTGGCACTCCTGATTTTTTTTATATCTTCAGTATAAAAATCAAAAAGAAGTCCTGGTTCTCAGAGCTCTCCACTTTTTCTGTGAAATTCACCATCTGCAGATATTTTGGATGATCTAGGGAGATTTGCTCTTTTATGGTGGCTAAAGAACACTTTTCCATGATCTCAGGTTTCCCAGGAATGACCAAAGTGCCTGAACAGCAGCAGCCTCCAAGCTCAGGTGCTTTCTTTGACTGGTCAAAGGAAGGACTCCTCAAATCCAGGATTTTTTGTTAAAAGCCTGTTTTTGCTTGTTACAGGCTTTAAAAAGAGAGGAAAAAATCTGATTCACAGAATTCACAGCCGAGCAAAAAATTCGACTCAGAAGTGCTTTTCCTCAAAAAGGAAATGATTAAACAATCCAAGTATTCACTACAAACCAGGCCCAATTTCCTTCTCTCCCATCAGGTCATCTGTGTTTCCAAGAGCTGCTTCTGCAACCCAACATCTTCCTGCTCAAGGCTCTCCTGTCTCGAGCCTGGCATGGGCAAGAGGAGCCCCAATCCACCAGAGGAGACAGGCAGAGAAGGGCTGAGCAGAAGCAGCTCCGCCAGTGCACAGGAAATGGAAACCCCAAACACCAAATTTTGGTGCTCTTTGCATTGTGTGCAACACTCAGTTGATCATTTCCCAGAAAGCCCCCAAAAAACCCCAGTGAGCAAAGGTGCAGGTGAGCAGATCGTGTCTTGTCAGAATCCAGGACATCCCTCTGGCTGCCCTGGAGGTCTCGAGACCCTGGCAGGGGGTTCAGAGAAGTCAAAAAATGGCACAAAGTCAAAAAATACTTGTGGCTTTAATTTTAGCCCGTGGAAAAGTTTACCAAGTTTATATGAGTGCTCAAGCCACAAGGGTTTGGGTAGTGTGATATTTGGATTAACACAGGGTGAAAAAGTAGAATTTTATGATTTTTAGAATGTGGTTCAGGGGGTACAAAATGGAGGAATTTGGGGGTGTCCTGGCCTCCTTCTCCTTCGTCTTGTCCTCCATGTCTTGCTGTGATGGTGACACTTTTCTATTGGTTTAAGGCAGAGATTCACAGTCTAACATAGGTGATAGATATTGGCACAAAATTGTAAATATACGATACATAAATTTTGATAGAAAAGGTAAACACCACCCAAGAGGGCAGAGCAGATTGCCATGGTCTCCTTGCTAGCCAGAGCTCGGCAGGTCAGAGAAAGAATGTTACAGCTAAGGAGAAATAAACAACCTTGAGAACACGACCTGAAGCATTCCAGACTCCTCCTTTGGCTGTGGCGGGCTAGGAAACGAGGACTCTCACAATCTTGGGGTCATTTCAAAGAAAAGCAGCCCCCAACAGTATCTGATCAGAGTGGTCATGAACAAAACCAGGCTCCAGGTGCCAGAGCTGCCCCAAAGGAGGAAAAGGATGAGAGTCCAGCACCAGTAAAAGCTCTGGCTGCAGCATCACCACAGGACAGCAAAGGCCAGATTGCTGTGAGATCAAGTGTTGCAGCTTTGCAGAGAAGGGAAAAGATGTTTGATAGAGGACTCAGCAGGGCCCTTGCCTGAGGACAGGTATGACTGTCCTGTGTGAGTGCAGAGGATGTTTTGGCTTTCAGGAGAGGATGTAATGCTACAGTGAGTGAGATTTTCTAAAAATTAACCTTTCAATCAGGGTAAACTGAACTACCACCCCACGCCATGGAATGACAAAATGACAACAATAAGGAAAAGCATGGATGAAATTATCTGTGCAGAAAGTTGGAGTTCTGCAGAAAATAAACTTATCCTTGCCTGTCCTCCCCTGGCATTTTAAATGTCCTCATTAAATCAGCAGCAGGAAACTACAGGGACCGGGACAGGTACAAATCTGATCTAGGCACATCTTCCAGTGAAGTACAGATTTTTCATTTTGCAAAGATTTTTGTTCAGTAAAAAGAGTTGGTTTTCTGGCTCTTTATCACAGTCTCATGGAATCACAGAATGCTTTAGGTTGGAAAGGACCTTAAAGATCATCTTATTCCATCCTTGCTATGGGCAGGGACACCTTTCATGGTCCCAGGTGGCTCCAAGCTCAGTGTCCAACCTGGTCTTGGACACTTCCAGGGATCCAGGGGCAGCCACAACTGCTCTGGGCACCCTGTGCCAGGGCTGCCCACCCTTACAGGAAAGAATTTCTTCCTAATATCTAATATAACCCAGCCCTCCTTCAGTGCCTTGATTTTTTTATTTTTAAAATATAAAGCTGGGCAAGTCTCCAAGGCTTTGGACTAAATAAAAATCTTTACCTCGGCTCCCCTGCTTGGCAGGTTTTCACTTCTAATACAACACAGATCAGAGAGGTGTTTTTTTGGCTCACATACCTACAATAAGATTATTCTCCTTCATATGTTTCCATCAGTCATGAAAGCACTCTCTTCTTGTCACACAGCCTCATAAAGCTGGGAAGGTGCCTCAGGTAACAGAAGAGCATCTTTTGGTACAAACTTTCCTATCACAAACAATCATTTTTGATACCATCCCAGGCGGCAGCTGAGGGTGAGGGGAGGAAGCTGATGAGTCTCCTTTGCTTTCTGAGCAAAACAGGCACCAAGGAACCTGCCCACCCCAAAAATGTCCCACCCTGCTCCTTTTCTGTCCCTTTCTGGGACTTTCTCCCCACTGCCCTGCTCCTACCATGGGGCACAGCTCAGTTCTCCAGGAGGTGTTTTCAGGAGACATTAACCTGCCCCACATTGCAGCTGGCTCTGGTGAAACCATCTTTGCTCCAATCAGGCAGAAATGTGCCTGGATTTCCTCAAATCTCAGCAGCAATCCAGGACCTGCTCTGCCAGCACCAATCCTGCTCTTCCTGCAGATCCTCAGGGTTCTGCCCACCAATTTTTTATGGGGAAAGAGGCAAAAGCAAAATTCCCAGCCCATGGCAGGGGAGTTGGAACTCAAGGATCTTTAAGGTCCATTCCAACCTAAACCTTTCTGTCATTCTGTGTTTCTGTGGTTCAAAAAAAAACCCCAGAACCCCAAGATGACGGTGAATACCAGCCATAAATAGAGTGTCAAGATCTGCTGTAAACTCCTAACAGAGCTGAACTAAAAATAGAAGCATGACAGGATGAAGCAGTGCAGCTCTGGCGTTGAGAGGAACAGCAATGTCAAGAGGATGAATAAAGAAAGGAGTAAGGCTTTGCTACAGTAATTATCTACCTGGCACAGAACAATGTGGAATAAATATAGAAACCTTATTGCCAAATAAGCACCTACTCCCACAAGCATGTTAAAAGAAATTACACACACACACACACACAAAAAAAAAAAAACACCACGGAAAATTCAACTGTTGAAAGGAAAATATTCTTTTTCTAAGATGCAGTGGCATTTTTTCTGGTTTGCCTTCAATTGCATGTCACATTCATTTTCTAAGGGAGAGTTCTGACAGAATGGATCCCTCAGAGTGGTCGTGCATCTCCTGCACATTTGTGCAAAAGGTTCAGCAGCACAAGTGGAATTATCTGCTCACATAAATCTGTGAGACTCAGTGACAAATTAAAAGGCCAAACAAACATGTAAAGAGCAGGAAAATATCCCAAATCCTCCCCTCCAGTTCCTGTTCCTGCCATCTGATTGCTGCATCCCTCATATACACACCACAACAGTCACACAGGAGTAAATGCAGACAAATCTGGGCAAAACATTTATTTTTTTAGTGCCATGAGCCCATTCTCTAGCACAAGCAGTGGCCAGAAAACTTAATCATAGTATATTTTAATATATATACAATATATGTATTTGCATAATTATATGCAGATATGTAATTCATACTTGAAATATAATTAATTCTAAATATATATATAAATGTATAAATATATTTACATATAGTATATATATGTAAATGTACAGATATATATAGTATAGTAAAGTTTTTTTTATCTCCTCACATAAAAATCATGTTGTTTTGGAATTACAGCAATTACTTGGTGATTACCTAGGGATTAAGACATTTCAAAGAGGCATGGTTATTTGAAACTAAATTTAAAAGCTCCCTGAAACTGTAACCTGAGCTAATCAAGTTAAATACTGGAAAAGAATGAGGAACTTTAACACAAGCAAATATGACAAGATGTAGATTATGGCTACAGAAGTTTGCTACCCTTAAACTTCTATTTTATGCCACATATAATGACTTTGCCCTTTATATATATAAATATATGTGTTATATTATTATTACTTTATTAGATGTTGCCCTGATTTTTAAAAGTGTTTTCTTTTATAGTTCTTTTGAAAGCGTTAAAGTTCTTTTAAAAGTTTTCTGTGCCTTCTGATGTTTACATATTTCTACTGGAGTTCCCACACACTGTTCATGTAAATAATGATTGTTTTGCATTCTTCTTTGTGGGAGGAGAGAATTGATGGACTGTTGGTTTGAGCAGTGTGGTTGGAGAGGTGGCAATTCCATCCTCCAATCCACTGTCACTTTTGGAATTCTATATATTGCGAGGTCAGAAATAAAATTGGCTCTTTTTCTCTTTTGAATTTACCAAGCTTCTGGGTACTCCTTTTGTGTCCAATAGCAACAGTTATCTATATTTATTTATTTATATATATAATGAGTTTGCTTTTATATATATAAATATATATTATATTATATATTTTTTAATTTATTCATATATATATATATAATTACTTTGCCTTATATATAATAACTGCTGCCCCAGTCAATGACTTGATGTCCCACAGCATTTCCAAACTGTGGGGTTTTTTTCTCTTGAAGAACCAAATCAATCAGGACACGAATTCCTCAGTCTGAAAGCTCAGAATGCCATGGAGAAAAGTCCGTGTGTACTTACGACCAGAGGGAGTTTCTTCCCTGTGTGATGACTCCAGTGAATTTTGTCAGCCTTCGAGCATCTACTTCAATCCACTGGTAGGGGTCATTTCTTCCTGCACACCAAGCACCATCATAAAAATCATTTTCGTTAACACCTGCCTGAAAAGAAGGCAAAGCTGACCATAAATCAGAGCTAAGGAACTGAAGGTCTTTCATGGGAAAAAGAAAGGAACACATCATTCATCCCCCTCACTTGAAGACCCTTGAGGGCCTCACCAAAATATTTCCTTACTCAAGGCTGGGCAGGAAATTCTGGGAAGTCCCGTTGAAAACTAAGAATGTTTACACATAAATTTAAGTCAGAAAAGATAAACAGAGCTTCAGTCTGTTCTTGTGGCCTGATAGAGCCACAGTCTTCATCCAGAACAAATTATCCACGTGGTCTGCAGAATTTGGAAGGTCCTAAAAAGCCAGCTCCAGCCCATGTAAATAATGGTCAGCGATTAGAAAATCTTGTTTTCCCTGGGAGCAGCAAAGCAGAGTGCAGGGCACGAGGAAACAGCAGCACTACTTCCCACCAGAAACAGAATTATTAATTTTCATAGCAAGGGTGGCAAAGGTTAAAAATTCAGGAAAGTCTGGCTGCTCTCCAGCTTGAACACCAATCTGTATCCCAATTTCTTCTGGGAAACCCACCACAAACAGCCTTCCCAGCATTTCAAAGAAATAGCTGAAGGTATTTTGGGTAAGCTGTTTTCCAAATAAATCTGAACTAGAATTTAATGAAACATAGCATCTGAAACCTTCAGAGATTAATTTTCCTTCTAAAGCCCAGGAAATGTTTGGCACTAAGCTGGATACTGCCATAAAGAGCACAGAAGCTTTGCCACGTGGTCCTCTGAGGCTACATGTATTTTTGTGGTATTTCATCTGTGGTTTATGTGGATTTATCATTGCCATCCATGCAATTCCAAGAATGGAGATTGTTAAATATTTCCCAGATGAAAATGAAGAGGTTTACAGATTTTTTCTACCCAAACGGGTGGCTCTAACTCAAAGAGGATGTAGTGGTTAATCCCTTTTTCCACTGTGGCTCTGATGGCACCTGAAGGAAGTGCTGCAAAACACAAGACACTGATTCAATTCCTAAAACTTCTCATTTTCTAGTTTTCAGGTATGAGATAAGTCAGCATAAAAATTACTTGTTTTCCTGCATCTACCAAAATTAAATTAAGCCCCCTACTTCTATTAGCTCTGATATTTTAAGGAGAAATTTGTATAAAAGTCAAATAAGAAAACACAGAGGAAAAAGCCTGTTAACAATGGGAGATAAATTCTTCAGGGAGAGCAGAACAATGGGAAAACATGAGAATACAAACATGGTCACTGACCTGAGTTATAACCCCTGGCAAGAAAAGGTTTCAATGCATTTTAAAGTAAGATGGAATCTGAAGTAGCCTGAGGCTTTAAAACCTTGCCAGGAAGTGTTAAAATCTGCAGAGCACCTTGAACAGCATCCTGTTAAACCCTTCACACTGGAAATTCCACCAGTTCCTGCAGAACAAGTGCTCCTATCTCCCAATCCCTGGTCCTTTTTAAGCTGAGGCTATTTCCCATTGGGGTGATGCTCATCAGGGAATAAACCTCTACTCCAGGTTGCAATGAGAAGTGGAAAGCAGAGGAAAAAAGTATGAAAAAGTCCTTATTAAAATAAAAAACTCCTCCCACCTAAATTACATTCTTGAAACCATATCCATGGTTTCAACTGGGTTTAAATAAAGTTAAACTTAAGTTGAATATCAAGTATGGGGAGTCTTATTTATCCACAGCTTAAAATACTCTAGCCTTAAATAGGGGCAAAGATACCATTAAAAAATTAAAATAAAAATAAGAAGAGGAGGAAGAAGAGGAAGAAGAAATAAACAACCCCATGCTGCTACTTCTCCCTGTTCTCTTATTTTCTGATATCAGCTTCTCTGGAGCTAAAAAATAAGTTTTTCTGGGTAAAAAGAAGCAGGTGTCTTTGTCTAATCAGCATAAAATACTACATGAAAAAGAGGAGTTTAATCAATGAGAAATTGTTTTTAGAAATGTTTCTGAAGGAAAAAGACTCAAGAAATTTATGCTAGAATTTCTCTTCTCAAGCTTCAAGTCTATTTTATTTTCTGAAGGTGCTTTATTTCCCTATGGCCACTTAAAAAAAGTTTCTATAAAATACAAACTTATAGACTGAATCAAGTATTTAGTAATTAGAATTCCTATTCAATTTCTTTGGAAAAATGGTAATTCCTGAGAGATAGGTACAGTTATCACCAAGTATTCTATCAAATAATACAGATCAAGATACCTTTCCTCAGTAAGGTGTTTACTTGAATTTTAAAAATCCATACTGAATTACTGGAAAAAGCAGATTCAAGTTATGTTATGGGTACTTAAATTCTCTTCATAAGCAGGAGACTGAAGGAGCTAATGAAAATTGGAAGCTTGGGCTAAGTCTTCAGCAAATCCTTTTTACCTTCACAGAATATTCAAGAATAACTCCAAGTCTAACCCAGTTTGTGTTTCATTTGCAGCCAATGCAAAAATATTTCTCAATATGCAGTGTCTTATGAGGAAAAAAACAAACAACAACAACAAAAACCAACCCTTTTGGACAGAGGAAAAGAGACTTTTTTCTGTCACTCACAAATCAGTTATTCCCAAGTGTGAAAGCTGAAAAATGTAATTCAGCTAAACCAAATTAACTGCTTATTAGGTATCTAGAAAATAATATGAAGGTTATAAACTCCTTTATAAATAATATGACTTTGCATTTTAATTCATGTTTCTCTTCTAAATTAGATGTGTGCAAGGCAGAATAAAAACTTTCTCATAATATCAGTGTTCTAAAAGCCTTATTCTATAATGAGGAGAAAGATGATACTACCAAAATGTACTCAAATAAAGAAAGAAACTCCAGTCTTCTGCCACAAATCAGCTGGAGCAGAAGTAAAAATACACCAAATATCAAACCACCTCTGCTTAAATTCTTTTCTATTCCCAGCAGGATGATCAAAAAAATTATTTTACCATAGGAAGTTTGGGAGGGGGAAAAAAGAAAGCATTACTCAACACAGGTATTTATAGCAACCATTGCCAGTAGGGAAGAATTAAAACACAGGCTGCGAGTAAATCTTCAATAATTTTGTCTTTTCCTTGTGATTTAATAATGCAGCTTTCCAAAGGGAACAAAGATGTGGAAAAACAATCATAGAACCATGGAATGGGTTGGGTTGGGAGGGACCTTAAAGCCCATACATTCCCACCACTGCCAAGGGCAGGGACACCTTCCACTGTCCCCCAGTGTCCAACCTGGCCTTGGCACTGCCAGGGATCCAGGGACAGCCACAGCTCCTCTGGGAAATCCATCCCAGTCCCTCCCCACCCTCACAGGGAGGAATTCCTTCCCAATATCCATCCCTGCCCTCTGGCAGTGGGAGCCATTCCCTGTGTCCTGTCCTGTCAGAACTCACAATGTCCCTCAGACATTTTTGGATGTTCCAGGCCCTGGTCAGAAGCATTTGAGACCCTGGCAGGCAGCTGGAAACAGCTGTGATTTTGGATTTGAGCCATGGAATGATTTACCAACCTTGCAAGAAGAACAAGAAGTCACAAAAGTTTAGATATTATAGCAGAAGTAGTCACAAAGTAAAAGGAAGAAATTTTGAGTCTTATACAGGGAGGTTTTAAGTCCTGTACAGGGGGGGGTTTGGTTTTGTACATGGGGGTCAGAGATTTAAGATGGATTTAGGATTTGGGCCTGCCCTGCCCTTCCTCTTTCTTCTTCCTTACGTCCATGTTCTTGGTGATGTTGGCACTCACAGATTGGTTTAGAGTAGAAAAGCACCATTTAATATAGGTAATAGGCATTGGGAAAAACTGTAAACATGTAACACGTAATGTACCATATAAAAGATAGAAAATCACCATTTAATATAGGTAATAGGCATTGGGGAAAAACTGTAAACATGTAACACGTAATGTACCATATAAAAGATAGAAAAGCACCATTTAATATAGGTAATAGGCATTGGGGAAAGCTGTAACCATGTAACATGTAATGTCCCATATAAAAGAGAGCAGCAGCCCTGGGTGGGGAGAGAAGAAGCAGTCGGGGTCAGAGAGGATGTCAGGGTGTGTGTGTGCCTCTGCCTGAGCTCTGAGCAAACCACAGCAGCCCCAGGAGAAAATATTTTAGATAACTCACAATACATTACCTTGAGACTGAACAACAGAGACTTCTGAGCCTTTCTTTGGAAGCTCGGGGTGGAGGAGAGACTTTTCCACCACATGGAGCCACCCCTGACCCAGGGCGAGCTCCTGCACTGTCCCTCCATCCCTTGTCCCCAGTCCCTCTCCAGCTCTCCTGGAGCCCCTTCAGGCCCTGGAAGTTCTCTTTTATACAGAAATGTCAGTGTTTGCAGACATGGGATTGCTTTAATTGGGTAATCTTCAGTGTTTGGATTTTTCCAAGCAGGAAAATGAGGAAGGGAAAGAAACATAGTTTGACAAATTATTCACGTGACAAATACTAATGAATTTTATCCCCGAAGGCAGACCGCCTGATTAGTATTATTTTATGCCATGATTCCCCTTGATGATGTTAAATTACTCCTGATTGTACCTCTGTTGCAGTTAGATCTCCAAAATACGGGGTTTTACTAACCTGTCTCTTGAGAAATCCCACCTTAATCCCCACATTCAGGCAGGACTGGGAGGAAAATCAGGGCCCACACAATTCAAGGACACAAGAGAAGCAGATCCTGCAAAGATTTATTCAGTTCTAAGCCTATCCTGCTCTGGAATAAAGCACACACCAACTGATTCATTTCATGTGCTTCAGATAATCTAAACAGGAAAAATGAAATAACCAAAACAAACCCTGGAAAGCTTTGGAAAAAATTAATTTTTCTGCAAATTCTTTGCGAATTGAGGCATTGCCAGTTACCTGGGGAGAGCCCTGAGCTTCTCAGCTGACTTTGCATCACATGATGTGGTTGGGCAGAGAGAGGATTTTGTGTTATTCGGGGTGGGGGTGGAACACCACAGCCCCATGAATATTGTGACAGCTCTAGGGTGAAATCCAGATCACTGGACAGGGGCAGCAGCCCATAAAATTGCTTGTCACCATCCCCACAGCACAACATGTTCACAGAATAACAGTGGCACAGTAGTGTCTGTGAGCTGGGCCAAGTGTTTTCCTTCATGTACAGCTCTGAACAGCAGGAAAACACAGCAGCCTCAATCCCAGCTTTTTGTGCCTTTTGCCTTCCCCCAGCACGCTGCAACCTCCTGCGCTGAGCAGCAAAGAGAAATCACCAGGGACCTCATTACCCACCTGGCACATCAGCCACCTGCAGCACCTGTCCCTGGTTAAAGCAAAGTCCCTCTAAATATGAGTGAAATTCAGAAATCTTTATACACTCAATCCCCAGTGACAGGGACCTGCAGCTCCCAGGTTTAGAAAAGTTTTAGTGCTATTAATTTTTAACTAAGCCCAAAGAAAACTGTTTTTAAAGAAAAATAAAGGCAAGCCCATTTTTTTTAACAGTAGTAGCCCTGTGTGGTGAGGGGGTTTAGGGAATTATTGTATCTATAGTTTCAGTAGGGGTAAAAAAATTTGGTCTGATCCAAGCTTTGGGTTATTTCAGGAAGAGCTGAGTGGCATTTTTCTTCTGCTTTGCTTTCCAGTAAAAGACTGTGCCCTTGCCCTTGGAGATTATATTTAGAGGAAACAGCAGCCATTGGTAGCACTCTATTATATATATATTATATATATTTATTTATCACCTCTCTATTTATTTTAATGCACTACTGGTGATGACAGGACTGGATGGACAAAACCAGTGTGGTCTTGTGTTTAAATAAATTGAACTTCAACGGCAGCATGAAAAATAAGTAGCCAGAACCAATAGAGAACTCAAGTTTGCATCACAGTCCTTGGTTTTATGCCATTATATAAACAAGACTGTAATAAAATAACTGAGCATTCCTCTAAAACCCCCCTGAATATCATCTGCACTCCATTTTTGTGATAATGAGGGTTTTTTTTTTCCTAGAAGAAATATCAAGGAAAGAAGCAAACTCCCTTGGTGGCTCTCCAAAGACAATAAATCTGAAGGCTGCAGGTGAGAGCTCACCTTGCACACAACCCCTTGGACCTGGATTGGGAAGGAAGGGCCCATTCCCACTCTGTGCTGGCTGCCTGCCACTCCCCACAGCTGCCTTTTCCAAAGTGGCTTCCTGAGCTTTCTGACCAGCTTTAATACATTAAAAATACATTTAAAATAAATAATACATTTAAAAATAAAATTAGGAGGGCTATGCAGGCGTTTACCCCAGAGATGTTTGTGCAGGGGCACAGTGGGATTTTAACCAAGGGTGATCCCTCTTCCAGAGGGAAGTGAAACCAGTGTCCTCATAAGATAATGGGAAAGCTGGACAGGACAGAACACAGATATTGAACCAATATGGTTAATCAAATGTTCTCCATTTATTAGCGAGAAGATGGCAGTTTATATTCACTTCTATATAGTTTACAGGTTACAAAGGCACTCTCATTGGCAAGCTAACATTGTTTATCTTTGTCTTAAGGTGGCCTAAACCTCACACTATAAAACTGTACTACTTCAACCCAGACAGCCCAGTGCTCCCCATCACACCTGAATACAATTTCTAACTGTCACAAACTCTTAATTTCTATCTGTGCCACAAACTCTTAATTTCTAACTGCATCACAGCCTGGAAGGCCTCACAAGGCCCAGATCTGAGGGCTAGACTGGAGTAGCTCAAATCTCATTCCAAACATAAATCATGGTATCTCTCTCTCAGAAATTCTGCAACAGGGAACCATGTGGAGTGGCCCTGCTGATTAGAGCTCACCCTCCCAGTCCCAGCCTTAGCCCCCTAAGCACCAAACCCCTTCAGCTGGGGAGAAACACAAATGGAAGGGTCTAAAATGAAAGACAAATTAAATAAACTTCAGAGATCTTTCACTGTTGGCTCGGTGCTGATATCCTGTTTATGACTCCAAGTGTTGTGCTTTATCATGCAAAGTAACATTTTTAGTCTGGGCAGACTGTAATTCAGAGAACAGCCCTAATAATAAAGTGGGAAACAGAAACACCAGAAATGGGGCAATGGCATTTGGTCCTGCAAAGCACCAAACACATTTTTAATCTGAAACAAAAGAATCTAAACAGGATTGTATGTTAGGGAGTTTTGAATAGAAGCATTTTTTGGATGGTATAATCACTGCTTCTGGAAAAAAACTGCCTTAGGGAAAGGGTTTCACTTGAAGCCACACTTTCAATTAAGCGTTGTCATTAACTACAGGCAAAAGACAAAAGCAACTTGCTGTGAGAGCTTCCTTGCAGGCTGGTTGTGAAGGGAGCAGGAAGGGAGCTGCCTTCACCTCTGCTTCCTCACAGAGTCTGGATTTGCACACCAAGTCTGCAGATTTTCCTAACGAGCCCACGAACCCAAAGGTTATCCATCAAACTTCCTCCCTCCTGCAACCCCACTGTTTCCCCTTGATTTGAATTACATGAGCTGACAAAGCAGTCAGAACCAATAACTATCCACTGCTTCTCTTTATTCAGCAGCACAACCTGCAGCCATTCTCCCACTTAGGAGGAAAAATTGATGTTACCTGAATATTGAGCCTTCCTCGGTGGGCCCCGAGGCCGTAGCGCTTTGCTGTGGAGGCATGGAGCTGGAAGTCAGTAATTTTTAATGTCTCCAGACCAAGTGGAGGGCAATCTACAAAACAAAAGGTTGATTAAATTTTAATTAAACGGGGGAAAAAAAAAAAAAAAAAGCCACCCAACAAAACAACACAAAACAAACAAGTATTCAAAGTTTCTGGATTTCGGCAGTGCCAAGCTGGCTGGGTCCTCCCTGGGATAAAGGAGCAGAGCAGTGCTGAGGGCAATGAGGATTGGCAGTTCTTAGAAAATCAATGAGGCAATGCAGATTTACACCATTTTCAGGGGCTCAGATAGTTATTACTGATAGTTATTACTGCTCTGTGCTTCAGTTTTTCACAGATATGCATAATATTTCCTATCAAGTGCTTGTCATGACTAAAACGCCCCTTTTATTTTTCTTTTTGGTGTTTTCTTTTTCATCTCTTGCTTGGATTTTTTTTTCCACCCTCCCTGTACTCATTCCAAGCTACTGTATGAAATTATGTTTCTAATTAAAATCTCTTCTGGAAACTTCACTCAGAGTTCCTCCCATTGCACAACAGCATCTTTCCAGAGGTCTGGGATCCCAGAGAGAGCTGAGCTCTGCAGAGGTGGTGATTAAACACAAACAGAGCAATTTTGGACCAAGACCCATCTCTCTAAGCCCCAAATTCTGCACATCCTTGAGGACAGAATAGCAAATGCCATTACTTCAGCAAAGCAGTGCTTGGAACTCTGGCTTTGGAAGATAAGAGGCTGGGAAAAATCTGTTTCATGATTATCAGACAAATGTTTGGCTTTTTAACTACTCACCAAAATGTCATGAGGTTATCAAAGTATGAAAGAATTGTTTATGTTGGGAAAGCCCTAGAAAATCATCAATCCAACCATTTGCTCAGCACTGCCATGCTCAGCACTATTGTATTTAACTTTCAGGTGGTATTTAACTTTCAGGTGCAGTTTTTTGCATTATTAGGCACAAACTGGCAATGTTTGAGATTTCCCAGACTCCTCCTTAGTTCACAACAAATTAAAATCCCTCAGGAAGAATGTTAGCTGTCAATTCATGCTGCTGTTTCTTTGGTCATCCTTAGGAAGTTCTCACACAAATCCAGGACCAAATGTCTCCTTCAGAAGTAGTAAAGGCAAGATGTAAAGTTAATATATTTTCTAAAGTACCAAGAGTGATTTTAGTGTTACATAAGAGCTGAAATGTAGACAGCTCCTCATTTCAAAGAGCTTTCAATTCAATTATCCAAAACAGAGAAGAAATGGGATGTGTAATGAAAGCCAGAGGAAGGAATAGCTGGAAGGATTTTGGTTTGATTGTCTGATTGTTTTAATTTCATTTCCTTATAGAGTGTTGCATCTTTCATCATACTCCAAGTGGAAGAAGTCTCAGGCTCTGACAGATCTCTACTGGGAGTAAATTACATTGTTGGGAACTGCCTGCTTTTTTTAACAAGTCTGGTCCTCAAGACAGCTTTGGAAATCAATCTCGTGGTGCAATCCTGAGAAAGGTTTGGTACTTTGGTGTATATTCCTCTGTGAACAATCTCAAATTCCCCTTAAGTTACCCAGAACTACCTGTGCCAGGTTTGAGCTGAAAATAAAGGCGAGCTGAAAACTAAAGCAAGTTGTTTTTGCATGCTCACTTCATAAAATATCATCTAATTCAGCGTTTATGCTGCTCCTACCAAAGCCAAGGGGGGATCTACAGGTACTGCTGGGAGTTATAAAATAAAAGTTGAAAAGTCTCTGTGTTTCACATCCTGTTCTCTGCTGCCAAACTGCTGCAAACACTCAGGAAGCTGCCCCAGGTGTCACGTCCCTGCTCCATGGGATGCACAGGCACAGTCCCAATCTGCTGGAGCCCTGCATGCTGAGAATTTCAGACTTTCTGTGCTGCCAGGCACTGACCCCCAGGAGAACTCTGCATTTGACCTGAGGCTGTAAAGAAAACTTCCAAAATTGTATGGTAGAACTGGGATTGTGGGTGTGGAGTTTGAATAGAAGTGTGTAACATCACAGGGTGGAAAACTTAGAGTTTAAGGTTTTAGATTATAGTAATAGATATAAAGCAAGATGGAGGTCTTAGGGCAGTGGCTGGTCCTTCTTCTTCACCATCTTCTCCATGGGTTTGGGTGGTTTTGTGTAATTGGATAAAAAAGTCCACATTGCAGGGCGTGGGTGATTGGTTTTTGGGTTAAAAGTAAAAATAACTTAGGTGCCATTTCTTAATTGGACAGTTTATCCTTAAAAGGCCTTGTAGAGAGAGAGACAGGGCTCCATTTTGAGTTTGTTAGAGCGAAGTGCTGTAAAACTCAGGATTTGTGGGACTGTGACATAGACAAGAACTAATAAACATCTGAGTCCTAACAAGAAATACCCTCTCACACATTTAATCCTGACCTTGGCAGAAAAAATAAGCAAAGAATCTGCACCTACCCACCACTGCTCTCAGCTGTGCAAAATCCCATTTTGATGAAAGCTGTAGGAAATGCACTATTTTTGAGCCTGGCAGCTGCCTGTCAAAGCAGTTCAGTGACATTCACCTTCCCACGCAGGTATGAGAAGCTGGTTTAGTTTTATTCAGAGTGAAATGTTATTAATTCACTATAAAGCTGCAGAATTCCTGGGTTGCCTGTAAATTTAAGCTGCAAGATGGGTGAGTATTTCCAGGCTGAAAAAAATTCCCGGAGTGTTTTGGTGTTTATCTCTGTTTCTAGAAAAATTGAAGCTTACTAATCAAATGCTCACACAGATCTCAGAGAAAGGTGCTTGACTGCTCTTTATTTTTCTAGGATTAATTACTTGTGTTGCCTGAGGATGCATCAGATTACCAGGCTAATATTAGGAAATGCTTAATTTAGCAGGATCTGTCAATGAAACCAAGAGTGGGCTGTGTGAGCAGGCAGGGACTACAGGAGGCAGAACAGGTAACTCTGATGAAAACCCTCAATGTCCACAACACGCTCCTTTCCCAGCCTGCTCAAGCCTTACCATATTCCAGGTGAAATAACAAAAATCTTTGCCATCAATTCAATAGTATCCTGGAATGTATTTTTATAGCTATTCATATAAATTAATAGAACACCTGCTTTCTCTAGACTTTGGGCTGTGACTTCAATAACTAATCAAATAATTTCTTTTTTTAATCTTGGTAAGAAAAAACATGAATTATTTTCCGTCAATACTTGGCTGAAAATTAATGAAAATACTTTCTTCCACTGTTGGCTCCTCTTTCTCCAGTGGACACTCCAAAATGGGAGCAGGGCAGCAGGATTTGCATTTGAAGACCTTTAGATATTTCCACCTGTGTAGCCCTGCATGGGGATGATATTCTTGGAATCATCAAGACTATTTTTTGCAGCAGCTTGGATGTATGGGATTCATTAAGTTTTCCACAAGAGAAGACTTTTGATTTTTCTTTAAAATAAAACTATGTTTTCTATTTATAGCCATAATATTTTAATATTAACACTTTAGGAAATAAATGTTTTCCACATGCATACAAATTCCAACATCGATAAAGGGATGAAAAGAGGAGGATGTAGACCAAAACAACAATTTGTAATGTACAGAGATGGTGGGGACAAATTTTTCAATATAGCCTCTTCTGATTTCCTCAGATTTACTCATTGTAATACAGCAAAATCCACCTGAAGTTGCCATATCACTACTGAAAAAAAAATTTCTGAGTATACTGAGAATTGAATTTTGGATAAATTATTTTGTTGGGGTGTGTGTCCCCTGTTTCTTAAAGCTAGTGGAGATAACCAGGACAGCCTAGTTTTGAAAAATATACAGAAAAAGAAACAGATTTATGGCATTCATAAAAACTTTGTGAAGTATTGCTTTAATACATTTTATTTAACTTGAAGAAATATTTCATGAAACAATGAAAATTTCCAGCCAATCAGTGGGGTTGTCTTAATGATTGTGTATTCCATGCCAGTTTGAAAAACAGTTTCCCTTGGGGAAGCCACGGAAATTGGACAGCAGGAATGACCAGAGATTGTGTGACTCTATTGCATAATGGATTCAGCTGGAAATTACCCAGTTATTTGATTTTTTTCTTTAACCAGCTGAAAATTTAATCATTATAAAACACAAGGAATTCAACTGTGGCTTTGAGACATTGAAATATGCATCCTGTGTACATATGAATTTAATAAATAAATGCACCTACAGAATTCCTGGTTTAGAGAGATAAAAAGCAAACATTAAGCTTGAAGGTTCAGGGAAGGGGTTGTTGTGGACATTTCTGCCCTCCTGGCCTATATTCAAGCATGATTTTGTGTGTGATTTGCAGCTATGGATAGGTATTCACTTTAGAAATGAGCATTAATGAGATGTCTGGATCAAATGAATTAATTCCAGTCAAATATAATAACGTTTGTATGTGGAAGTGTTTCAGTCCAGAACAGCTGCCCTGCAGCAATGTTAAATGGTCACATCTCAGTGGCCAGGATTGTCAATTCTCCTTCCCCCAGGAGTGCCAGCAGGGCACCAAGGCACTTCTGGTACCTGGCACTGGGGAAAATCCCCTGGCCCTTAAAATCAGCAGGACAAACACCCAGGAATCAGCTCAGGCTCCACCTCATCTCCTGAAATCTGATTTTACCTCTTATTCTAGGTTTGCCTACAGCAAGAACAACACCTGGATGTGCAGCTGAGCTCCCTCCTCCAGCCAGCAGGTGTGGCAAGCACATTTCTCTCCCTCTCAGGATTTTCATAGAGGTGCACAGAGAGAAATGAAAGAGAAAACAATTTCTATTTCTGCTCCTTGTTTTTCCCATGTGGAATGTGTTTGGAGAATTGTTTACCTGGGGTGATGGCTTGGTTGGATTCTGGTGAGGATTGTTTGAGCCTGATGGCCAATCCAATCCAATCCAATCCAATCCAATCCAATCCAATCCAATCCAATCCAGTCCAATCCAACCCAACCCAACCCAACCCAATCCAACCCAATCCAATCCAATCCAATCCAATCCAATCCAATCCAATCCAATCCAATCCAATCCAACACAACCCAATCCAATCCAATCCAATCCAACCCAATCCAACCCA